GAGACTAGGATATTAGTACCCTCCCCGGGTGGGGAATAAATTGTAACCCCTTAAGGAATCGAATTTCGTGCTGACATGTTTGTAATGAAGTCAACGTCTCAAGTAAAGTTGTTGAGTTGTAAAAGGCGTTTTCTGTCGTCAGTTCCACAACACTCTGCTTAATAATCTAGGCGAGTCCAAGTTTAACGATGAATCCCGCATCTGTGGATTTAGAGAACTAAAGGCGAACTGTGACATTGGACGATGAAACGCTGGGGTTGATGAAGCTATGTGACCTCCCATGCTTAATGTATCTTGGGCTTTGGGTGACTTGTTCGATGGTAGCGGTATATTCCAAGTCGGTTCTTTGATGACTTTTACTTCCATTTCCTTGGTAATTTTTCTTTTTGGTTTCTTAGTGCGTTTTTCTTTTGCCGGTTCTTTGATATCTTGTTTTTCCGGCTCTTTTCTCGGCGATTTGTCTGCATTCTTTTCATTCTTCGTGGATTTTGATCTATCGGCGCCACTTTTTCGGCATTCTGTAATGGCTCTAGTTCTTGCGAATTCTTGCAACTAGCTTCCAACTCTTAAACTATTTTACTTATTTCTTCCTCTTGTTTACTTACTTCTTGCCTCAAATTCTCGATTTCTTGATTAACCATAGAATGAGCGGGCTTTTCGCAGTCTCTCTTTTTTCTATGGAATGTGAAGCATTTGATTGGGCAAGTTAAATGTTGTTTTTGAGACAAGCTCTCACAATCTGCTCTACCTCTTCGAAGTCTTGTTCGATCATTTCCAWTTTGGCTGAGAGTGTGTTACCTTCCTCGGTGTCGCAAATTCCTTCGTAGTATTCCTCTAAATTCTTGATAGTAGCTGTTATGTCTTCCATAGCTATGTTTAACCCATCATACATTTCTCTGATTTCCATTCTTGAGGTCAAACCACCTTCCAGCGCCATAAATAGTTTGTTTTTCTTTCTTGTAAATCCAGCTATTGTTTTCATCTTACTTGTCTTTAATTTTTCCTCTGACATTTTAGCGATTTTTCATCTTAAAAACCTCGCTCTGCTACCAAAATGTATGGATGAACGCACACTATTCATTTAATGTTAATGAGCCTATCACGTGACTCAGTCCAGTCTCCCGAACACCCAGGTACCATACCAGTATCTGTGCCCAGGTCAGACCTTGATATAGGAGTAACTCTGGCAATTGGAGTCATACTAGCTTAAGGGATGCAAGGGCTAGCTGTGACATATTCAGGTTCAGAAGCGGGTATGACTGTTTTAAAAGAATATCCCGTAACTCTTTTAATGATTTTTCAGTGCTCAAAAATCGCATTGAAAAATCATTAGTTTCCTCTGTCTGAGTTATAATTTCCCTGATTTGGGATCAGCAAGTTTTGTATCTTTTGTTTGATTGCCTATCTGACTCATTTGGGGATCAGCAATTTTGTTCTGGAATTCATCATCTGCTTTAGTTCTTTTTTTGTTAGAGGAGCTTTTCTTTCTTCTTCCAGAAGAGACACCTGATTGTCTGAAAGAAAGTATGCAGTTCTAAAGTCAAAATAGATTGTCTAATCCTGTCAAAAAGTTAGTAATAAATATGTTTGTGCTATCCTGCAATAGCCGTAATAAAGAGCTAAAACATTTTTCTTGGCTCAATTTTCGTGGCTGCGGCGGTAGCGGTTGTGGCATCAACTCTCAATGYAAAACAAAATAAGAAACATGATTACTTGCTCATTCTATACTATAGGACTACAATTTCTCTAAATAAAATTACAGTGTTAACACACGGTTCATAGATGTCGTTATTGTCCATGATATACAATGCACTCGTAACGTACAATATTCGAAATCTAAACCGGTCTAGAAGGGCAAACCACTATATTTGGGGGGGGGGGGTAGGGAAATTTATTTTCCTAAAAGCTAAAAGTAATCAAACCGTAATGTCATTCAGGAAATACAGTTCATCAATGCCCACTAAAATCATCAACGGCGTTTTTTTGCTGAAAAGTTAAGCTAAAGATACATGTAAATTACATCATGCTTACCAACTAGATGCTGCAAACCAGCAAACTCCGTAAATTTTGCTATCATGAAATTGCTGAAGAAGTAATCAATGAAATTCTTTTAGACAACCTGCCAAAAATGATTATATATAAAGAAGAATAATCATACAATGGCACTTAAAACAAAGACAAGAAAACATTATTTTGTGTACAGCACAGGGGTGGATCCAGGGTAGTTTACGTGATTTCCGTAAACTACTCAATTTTTTTCAAAGCTACACACTTCTTTCTAAATAATGACAAAATATGTGTATTACATTATTCTAGAAACTTCTAGAAACAACTCACTTGGTTGTTTTTCAGTT